AATAAACATTTGTTTTCTTAACTCCATTTGATTGGGCTAATTACATTGATAAAGAGGTTATCTTTGCAACTTGGTAAAGTAAATGCCAGTCAAACAAATGCTAGGTCAAGTGCAAATCAATGACACATAGACCCTTTGAACTTCTTTTGACTAAAAATCACCACAAGAATTAAGACCAACCAAAAAAGATTTTTTGAGACTTTATTGTGATAACAAATTAGCTACCAATTGTGCTCGTAGTCTAGAATCCATTAAGGAGCAATGCACCGATTGTTTATTTTTCCATGCCTACTGTTACAAGAATTTCACAATTTCTTGTAATATATTTTTCTTAAAATGGCAAACCCCTTTATCCAACTAAGCATTCATAACACTCAACATGTTCAAGTAATTAACTATTCAAACACCACATATATTACACAGGAGTGCCTTTAGGCATGGGTCTTTTGAGAATTTATGTTCAAGTAATTAACTATTGAGAGTTTATTAACATCAATAAAAGTTTTTTTTTTTTCCTAAATATTTTCATACACTTTCAAATCCTTTTGTTATTTCTCATGTTTTCGAAAAGTTTGAAAAGTTTCCAATTCTATTTTCATTTCCAACCTAACCGAAAGAACGTACGGAAACGAAATTTTGATCTTATTAGAGAAGACGGGAAAATTATCACATTTTAATAATAACATTTGATTTCTTTAACATCAATTTATAACCCAAGTTTGACATCACATATGCACACCCATACAGTACCACCGAACAAAGTACTAGCCAAAATTAACAACAAACAAAGAAAAAAAGAAAAAAAAAGCTTACTAAAAATAAAAATAAAAAGAAGAAAAACTAAGCACTTTTTCATATTTTTTATTTTTTAGTGAAGTTTTTTTCAGACTTCTCATAAATATTAAAATTTTAATTATATTTATATTAGGTGCATCAAAATAAATAGATTTTTAATTAAAATCTAAAAAAAATCAAAAATAGATGAAGACAAAAACAAAAGCTCTTTTTTTTTTTTTTAAATTTCTAAACTCTATTAGAATGTGTGTATTTCTTAAATTTAAATTTATCACAATAGTACCTGTAACCCCGTGCAAGGCATGGGCATTTTACCCTAGTATCTATATATCTGGCCCTAAAGGGTTGCACTCTATCACAAAAATATGGTTTTACCATAAAATTGTGTAACATCAGTAACAAAATGTATAATCTCGTTACAAATTAGTATAATAAAATGTCCAAAATCCCGTGGTTAATGATGTAAAACTTTTTGGCTTAGTTACGATATTTTTTATTATGCCAATTTGTAGTTGGGTTATGCATGATGTAAAAGTTTATGGTTTTATTGTGGCATTTTTTGTTACGTCAATTTGTAATAGGATTACACATTTTGTGGCAGGTGCATATGGTAGCATTTTCCATATATCTAGGCTTGAATAACTCGATTTAGATCTGTTGTTATTGCATACGATGTAATGGGTTGGGTTAGGCTGTGGGCTCATACAAGAAAATTGTGGGCTTATTGTAGGGTTTGGTCCAAACGGGCCAGACTTCTATATCTAGAGGCTCTGAATTATAGGATTTTCCTTTTTTCAAAAAAGGTTTGATTTTGATTCCCTTATTAGATGTGGGCTTTTTCTTTTTATATTTGTTTTAAGGACCTTTCTTGCACATATTTATAATTTTCTTTTTATGTACTAAAAAAAATGTAATTAAAATACAAGGAAAAATATGTTAAGTTTGTTGTGAAGTTTTCTCAAACCTATTATATTATTATTTGAAGGCATTTGTTATTCCCAAACTTTTAGAATTATGAACTTTTTTATCTTGTTTTTTCTTTTTTTTCTTGCCATTTCTATTGACAAATTTAAAATCCAAATGTAGAAATTAAAATTAAATCTTCTAAAATATGCCCCACCATTCCTCGGTCATTTGGCATATTAATTCCATGTTGATCATTCAAGAGGTAAAGTCTCAGAAAATTATGAAGTCCAAGTGTCCATCAATGGCCGTAGCGGGTTCGAGGACAACAATGTGATGTTCAATCACCAAAAACTCCAAGCAACTCATTGTTGTCCTTTGTTTTTAATCTTTCCTCAACCCACTTACAAAAATATATATATTTTTTGATTGGTATCCGGCCGTAATGACTGACTAATATGATCTCAAAAATACATATATATATATATATATATTTGGATTGGTATCCGGCCGTATTGACTAACTAATATGAGAGATCAATCCCAACGTAGTGGACAGTGGGACAGTGGGATTAAGGGAAGAAGAAGAAGAAGAAGAAATCATAGAGTCCACTCTTTTGCTTATGTCTCATCTCTTTACTGACTGACTATAAAGCTAGTGTTTATATGGGTTAATCGTAAATAAGATAGTCTCTTGCTTAAAATTGCTATCTGTATAATTTGCATTTATTGAGAGAAAATTATACTACTAATACGTCTTGAATGTGGAGATTTAAAAGGTTGAATTTGGATATTTTAAAGGTTTGGAATCACTAGGAACTCCAATGATGTGTTAAAAATACCAAGTAAAATAGATGCACTACTTGAAATTGACAAGTTGAGAGTTAGCGAGTTAGCAAAACTCTTGCATCAATTCGAAGAGAAGATCGAAAGCTTTCACGAGGAATTTGCGTTAAGGATGTGTTAGGGTTTTATTCTTGGCAATCCTGTTTGACAAAACTCTTTTGAGTTGTAATTTTATTCGCATTTTTATTTCAGTGAGGCTATGAGTTGTTAGAGGCGAATCCAACCCGAATCGTGCTTTGCAGAGAAGTTTGTGATGTCAATACTTTCAAGATTGCCACTTCGCTGATTATTACGGGCCGGTCAGCTCGTGGCCGAAGCAAAATGCAAAATTGCATTCAAAATTGTTCGCTCGAGCCAAGGAATGCTCGCTCGAGCCAAGGAGTTCTCGCTCAAGCGACAGATTGCATCCACACAAAAACCTGAAAGAGTTGATTGCTCACTCGAGCCAAGGATTCGTCGCTCGAGCCAAGGCACTAGTAGAAATCACGAAAGTTAAGCTCTTCGCTCGAGCGAGAAAAGCTTCGCTCGAGCGAGCTTCAAAATCCAGATTTCTTAAGGAGTTGGTTTTCTTCCAAATCTAGGATTATTTTTGGTTTTCTATAAATGCTTGGTTTTCTTCCAAAGCTAAGGGGACTTCTCCAGATCTTCTTTTTGGATCTTAAGGTTTATATCTGGAGATATTTTGTTAGGTTTTCTTTGATGTTTTTATTGAGTATTCAACTCATGGTTTAAAAGAGAGTACATCAAAGGTTTTGTTTGTTATACAAAAGAGAGAGTTGTTCTTCGGTGGATTCTGAAGAATTCGAGTCTGAAGTTTCGATGGATTCTGGAGTGGCTCATTGTAAAGACAATTCCAAGGTGAAGACGGGGTTGGAAGAGGCACATAGAGGTTGGTTCATTTAGGCGTGGATTCGCTAGGTAATTGAGAGTATACTTGTGTAATTCCTTTAAATCTTTTTAGTGGATTGTTTTTGTGGCTGTTGCCCGTGGTTTTTTAATCACAATTGGAGGTGTCCAATTGTGGTTTTTCCATGTAAAATCGTTGTGTTGATTTATCTTTGATTGTTTGATTGGGATTGCTATATTCTGCTTAAAATTGGTACATAATCACAAATCAACATCTAGGGTTTCTAGATTTTTCAATTGGCTAGATTTTTCAGGATGTGGTCGTATTAGGCGGGGAATAATGTCACAACTTGGGAATTTTATCAAATATTTGAGTTACGAATTCGATTTTAGATTTATGTAAAATTTTGTAGAAATCCCTATAATTAGGTAGATAATTGTAGAATTTATTCATCATACGGTGGTGGAAGGATGTAGATAGCTTTCATACTACTAGATCATTGAAATTTATACATATGTAGACTATTAATTAAAATATATAATAGGCAATCATTTGGTTATAAAATGGAAGAATTAGATAGTTTCCACACCATTGGATTGTTGATATTTGTATATATATCTAGACTATTAATTGAAGATTTGAAGGCCAAAGGCATCATTTGGCCAAACTAACAAAGCAATGGTAAACTCTCCGTACTTTCAATTCGAACTTTACTTCTTGTAAACTTGCTATTTTCAATTCAAACTCTCTCTACTTCCACCTCAAACTCTATACCATCCTAAAAGTCCATCAGGGTGAGTACCACATGCACACATACCATGGAAGGCCATGGCCTCCCTGCCTAGTATATATATATATATATATATATGGGTTCATTTTATGAGACATGAACTACCTTATCTAATATTCAATTTTATGTTCACAAGACATACGGCTATGCATTTAAAAATTTTGATTTTTTAGGTGTATATATAAATTTTTGATTTTTATAAAATTTTGATTTTTTAGGTGTATTACCCTAGTATATATAAAATTTTGATTTTTTAGGTGTATTACCCTAGTATATATAAAATTTTGTGTATACTTGTATAAATCTGTGTGTAGTGTGCTCAGCATCTCCATTGGAGATGCCCCAAGGATCCTAATAATGAGCCAAGGCCAGTAGTATTGCCCCAACTAGAAATGGTGTAGGAATAGAACACCACAAATCCAATCCCACTCTACTTCATTGCTATTCCTACTTTTGTTCTAAAATTTTGCCCTATATTCCCAATACATTTCCAAGCACAAGATTATGTCTCAAGATTTCAATATTTCAAAATTCCACTACATCTTGTGGCTAAGAGTGTATTGAAAAAGAGGAAAATAAGGATATTATATGATAAACAAAAAAGGAGTGAACAGAGATACATAAAAAGTGAACTGAGATACAGAAAATCGTAAATTATATCCTACGAATAACAAAATTTGTAACTTTTTAATGCCCTAGATTCAGCAATGAAATGAAAACCCCAAATTTCGAAATTTAATGCCCTAACTTTTCAATGCCCTAATTTCGAAATTTAAAATCCCAAATTTGAAATGAAAACCCTCATTTATGCGATACAAACCTGAATGTGGGTGTTTGATGAAGGTGTTCCTCGTTTTTCCGGTGGTGTACTGTTGGCCGTTGTTCGTTGCTTCCTCTTCGTCGTCGGTCTTCCCTTCGGAGTTCGGCTGAGTGAGGGAGAAGAAGATGGGCTGGAAAAGAAGAAACGACTTTCGTAAAGGGAGAAGGAGATGGGTTTTGTGTCAAATGAAATGGCTTTCCGAAAACTGTTTTCTATTTATGATAAAATTCTTATTTTAGGCAAGCAATATTTATAAATTGAAAAAAAAAATTAATAAAAATAAAAATGGTTTTACAAAAACCGTTTTCTATTTATTTTCAAATTATTATTTTAGGCAAACAATATTTATAAATTGAAAAAAAAATTAATAAAAATAAAAACAGTTTTACAAAAAACGTTTTATATAAACTTAAAATTAATTAGGTGTTAAGTAAAAACGGTTTTACAAAAACTGTTTTATGAAGGAAAATTTTATTAATTTTTTATTCATCAAAAACAGCTTTGCCAATGCCGTTTTAATGAAAACGGTTTTGGTAAACCCGTTTCACCCTATACTGAGAATAAAGTAGAAAACACAACCTAGAGTCGGACTAAAATATTCAAAATACCCCAAACAGGGAAATTGGCCCCCAAATCACTGTCCCATGATTTGGTGAGAAAATAAAAATAAGTGTGAGAATAAGTTTTCTCATTTGAACGATTAATAAGATGTGTAATGACAAACAGAGACAAGTCACTTTAAACTTAAATTTCATTTCTCACCTATACACATATATCTCTTTTAATCATTGTCTATAATTTTTTTTTTTTTTTTATTGAAAAATTCCAATCATTTCAAATTTTTTCCTCATCACTCCTTTCATTTTTTTTATTTATTTAAGCACAACAAAAAAAAAGCTTGGAAGTCGTTTTTGAGAACTCACTTGTAGTCGCAAACAAGAAGCAATCCACCATAATCCACCATCTTTGCATACAAAGCACCAATCCTCAGCAATTTCTTCCTTGTTTTGAATCTTTTTTTCTTTCTTCTTCTTCTTCATCACTCTACAATTACTTTATGGTTTCTCACTCTTCACAGGTCTTGAAATCCCAAAATGCAATGAAAACTCAAGCTTCCCAACTCAAATGCTTTAGAAAAAAAAAACCCATTTAAATAAGCAAATACCAAGAAACTCTCTCTCTTTCTCTCCTGAAGTTTAATCAAAAGTTTATCACAGAAAACGCTCTTGACAATGCAGTTTGAGGGATGAAGAAAAGACCCACAAGAGAATATAAGCCAAATCACAACCTCAAAACCACAAAAAGAACAAAACCCAAAATGCCTTCCAACGGGTGTCCTTTGGGTTGTACAGGTTTTAGAGAGAGAGAGAGAGAGTGTGTGAAGATTGTAATGTGGGTTTTGATAGGTTGTTCTAGAATCTCAGGAATTAACACCCCGGACTGAGTAGACGAAAAGTTTTTCTCTTTGGATTTTAATTTGCTTATGGGTTAATCCAGGATTAAAATAAGAAATTGAAAATATTTAAAAGAAAATGCTAGAGTTTAGAGTATTTTGGACGATAGTTAAAAGTTATTTTTTTTATTTTTTTTGTGAGAGAAGTGGGTTAAAAATTAAAAAGTGACTTTTAATCCACTTTTTAAAATAGTTTTTTATTTCATTTTGGACCTCTTTATATTTGTGTTATCTCAATTTGCACTCAATAATTTTCTTATTTTTAACTTTTCTTCCTATCTAAAAAAAAAAATTCTTTAGAATGTGTTTGGATATGAATTTAGGAAGAAAAAAAAAAGAAAAAAAGATCAAAAGGTAAAACAAATGTAAATTTAATATAATTTAATCTTGTTTTTTCATTTTCTATCCCTTTTCAAATTCTTATCTAAATTCATGATTTAAATGTAGTATTAAAGTTCTTATTATTTTGACTATATCACTTTTGGGGCTTTACCCCCAACTAATTTTTGTAGTCCTTTATTCTATATATACTATACAATTACCTGGTCAAATAACCTCAATGGAAGAAAAAAATATTGAACGTAATAATAATACCATCTTACATGATATTATCCACTAATAAAAAGTAGAAATGGGATTAGACATTCCTTATCTCTCATTAATTTAACAATATTACTGTCTTTACTACAAAATGAAATTGCTCATTAAATAATGATATTGCCTATCAGCATTTCTTTCAATATTTTATACTCCAAAAGAAATAGAGAATGGAACATTAAACTATAGTGTTTTAACAGAGGTCATTTAAAGTTCATTCAAAATTATAGTGTTTTGTAGCTTGCAAGTATTTGTTGTTGAGCCAATTCAAAATTTCTTTGGCTTCATTATTAAAGCACTTGGAGAAGAATGGAGGTCAAAAGTTCTTCTAAGTGAATTTTATTTTATAGAGAATTATAGTGGCAAAAACATTTGCTAGTTAAAAACTATCACATTTTAAAGGAGAGGGGTTTGGTTTTACAACAAACAAAAGGGTTAAAACAAAAAACAAAGAGGGCTAGACTTTGAAAAAAAATATTTGCTTTGTAAAACCCTAATTATAGAAGGGGAAAAATTATAAGTTTATTTTGGGTGGAAACAAAATTGACAATGTTGGAGAAAATCAATTACTGGAGTTAGGGGTGCATGCGGATCGATTTTTGACGGTTCGGTTTGTGGTTTGGACCCACCCACATGTCTGCGGTATAAGAAAATTTGAACCCGCATTCGCCCATAATGCGGGTTGTGATTTGTGCTAATAGGGTTCGAGGATGTGTGGACAGTTTGTGAATTGAGCTTTTTCCTTCAAAAATTTATTTTTCGACTTGTTTTTTCTTATTTTTTAAATATTTTTGATTGCGGGAAATTCAACACTATCCTCCATTAAAACTGGATTACAAAAAGTTAGAATGAAAATTAAATAAAAAACTAACATAGGTAAAGGGAAAAAAAAATACATAACTAGATTTGCAAAAAATTGAAGAAATTCCAATTGAAGAACAAGTGCTCGTTTGGCATGTGGGTTTGAGTTAGGTTGGGGCTATTTTAGTCACAAAAAGACAAAATCAACTTTTTAACTTCAGGCTAAAAATTGTCATATCCAAACTATATTCATTACATTTTTTCTCTCACAAAAGTCAAAAAAATCAAAAAGTTCATCCTAAACAAGGCTATTTTAGCCCCAGATTAAAAAAGTCAAAAAGCAAACCCACATCCCAAACGAAGCATGAGTATTGTAAATAAGGTAGTGCATAATATTATTATAATGTTATAATATTACAGCTTACAGGTTTGATAATCAAATTGAACTGCATGAGAGAAAAGAAAATTAGAATTACATATTTACAAAACTTATAAAAAATATATGATGATTTAGATTTTCCAGATGCGGGCGGGTGAGTGTGGGCGTTGGTAAAACCTGTAATCCGCCCGCAACCTATAAAACCGGAAAATTCTAACCAGCATCTGATCTTAATGATTTTGCAAAACTACCCGATTAGGCGTGAGTAATTCAAATTGGGCAGTTTTTGCCAGTCAAGTAATCCTATGTCTAGCCCTAACTGGAGTAATATCAAATTATGATGAAGAGGATAACAAGAAGAGCACAAGATTAATATCAAATTATGATGATGATGAAGAGCACAAGCTGTGTGGAAAGGGACGAAATCCAAGAGATATCCAACTTGTAAGGAAAAGACAGGTAGTATCGTTTTCGAACAGACTACTATAATAATTTTTTAGTTTTTTTAATTAAAATATGAGTTTAAAAAATTAAATTTTGTTTGGAATAAATTTTTTTAGTCTAATTTTTTGATTTTTTTAGCTATTTTAACTTGATTAAAAAAATTATGTTTGAAATAAACTTTTAATTTTTTTTGTAATTAATTTGATAGTTGTGAGAGAGGAAGTGACATTTTATCTTATTTTGACTTTTTAGTATATTTTGTCTTTTGTGGGCTAAATTAGTGTAATCCATACCCTAAACAATATGTTTGGAATAACTTTTTGACTTTTTACATATAAAAAATAAAAAAAAAATTGCAAAAAGTAGGGACAAAAAAGAATATTTGATTTTTTTATATATATTTGTTGGTTTTTATATTTTTAATGACTTTTTAATTTTTATACTAAAAAACAGAGTTGGCAAATGAGAAAATCAAATAAAAGATAATTTATTAGTTGGGATCAAAATCAACTCGTGAAGAATGTTGGTTTATTTTGACATAAATTACATTTTTTAAAAAAATAATTACATATTTTTTAAATCAACTCTAAACTTTTAATTTTGTCAAATTTTAAAATTTTAATTTGTTTCCAATCTAAATCATTTGCCTATTTTCGTTAAATAAAATTGACTGAAAAAATAATATTTTAGTCATTAAATTCAATAAAAATGGTATTTTAGACATTTTATGTATACTTACATTGAGTTTAATGACTAAAATACTATTTTTTCATAGATTTACGTAACAAAAATAGATGAATGATTAAGATTTAAATTGATAAAATTAAAAACTCAAGGTTTCTTTTGTGAAAAGTCTCAAACCATGGAATTTTTTTTTTTTTTTTGGTAATTGTCTCAAATATTATTTGCTATAGTCTCTAAAATGGCTTATCCTTAAAAAATTTGTAAGTCAATTTTTAAGAAGTTTACTTCCCACCTTTGTAGCACATTGATCTTTAAGCAAATTGCACTTCATGTCATTTTTTTCCCATTGAACTAAAAATTATTACACTAAACCCCCTCTTATCTATTAATTTTTTTTTCAATTTGGACTTTAATGATGAAAATACCCTTTTAGCTGTAAGCAAATTACACTTCACCCACTTAAACTATCACTCTATCATTTTAATCCCCTCAACTAAAAATTTTTACACTTTATTACATAGAACTATCAATTTGTTTCAATGTAAATCTTTGACAAATAATTTGTTACATAAATAGATAGAAAATTGAAGTGTAACTTACAAGCCTTATCTCAAATTTTGTGAACAGCTTAAAATACTTTATTATTCTCTTTTGTTTCGTTTTTCTCTCTATCACTTCTTTGCCCTACCCATGTCAACAACCATAGATGCATACACTATGGTTACCACTATTGTTACCTTGATTAGGAGATTGGAATGGGCGGCGAGGAAAAGAAGATGATGAATAATATCATTTTAGATATTTCATAATATTTGAGATTTTTTTTTTTTTTTTTTTTAACGCATTTGAGATGCCATGTTTACATGTCAATTTGTCATCTATTTGTGTAACAAATCGTAAAAGAATATTATATAAAATATAACATTTTTAGTTGAAGGAGTAAAGCAATATTGGGTGATAGTTTAAAGAGGTAAAATGTAATTTGTCTTATAATTGAATGGGTATTTTCATCATAAAGGTTCAAAATGGAGAAAAACACACACACACCCAAAAAAAAAAAAAGCCAGAGAGAGTGAGCAGATGCAAAGGATTAAGGGTTGCAATTTTTAATTCAATGGTGTATAGTGATTTGGTACAATAGTTGAGGGGGTGAAGTATAATTTATCCTTGATTGTTTCGAAAGTAAAGGGTAACTCTTTTTTACCCAATGCATGCAATAGAAAGTTTTTGTGCTATAGTATCAACCAAAAAAACAAAAAATAAAAAGAAATATATATTTTTTTATGCAAAATCAATTTAAATGAAAATATTTTCCATCAAAACAAACTGATTGGAAGGGTTTTTTCTTTTTTCTTTTATTATATAGAGCTCTATCTTGCTGGCTGTTGTTTAACATCTAATGCTTATAACTGCTCAAAACAGTTAAAAATATTCAACCTTGTAAAATGATAATATTTGAGCAAGTAAATGTAAACCAGAGAGAACAAACTGATGCATGCTTGCGACGTAGTATTAATAGAAATTAACATATTCTCTAAAAAATGTGTTACTAAAATGGTCATGTTTAGGCAAAAATAAATCCAAATGAAAACATGGCTTCATGACTTCAAAATTCATAATGGATTACTGGTCCTACTTAAATATATATTTTCAAGTCAGTCAATCAGGGACGGAACCAGAATTTCATCATCGAAGGGGCTAAAGACAAATAATTTTATTTCACCATATATACAAACACATATGTATGTACAATATGATACATAAACTATATACATGCATAAAAAAAATTCAAATACCATATAAGTAATCTCTTTTCGGATAAAGAAATTTTTTTGGTACAAAAATAAAAAAATAGAAGAATGAGATACATGTCTTTTATACTGAGAGACTATTTTATTTATAAAACAAGATATATTTTTTTTAAAAAGTACTATGACATTAATGGAGATATATATATATATATATATATGTATTATACTTGTTAGTTAGATACTTGAGCATGAACGAACGATTCTTATGCGATACTAAAATCAAAACTATCAGCAAAAAGAAACAATTTGAGAATGTTAATGGCCAAAACTAAGACTAAGGAACATCTACAAGTGCGCCAAGTAAAACAGCCAAATCAGGCATGTTAAGTTGATAATAGTCTTATGAACTTCAGAATATCTCAAACAAACACAATAATATTTCAAATCTTAAACATAATAGTTCAATACAAGAAGTACAAGCCTCCATCTTCATCACTAGGTTTCTATTTCATTATTCTTGTCTTGGTGTGCCAGAAAGGGAACAGAACACGAGAACAATTTCAACAAAAAAAACCCACAAAACCAAACAAACTAGGAGAACTCCAAATCACCGGAATCGCTTCATCAATGAAGAGAGGGAGAGACAAGGAATCCGAACTCCACAGAATTTCACTCAGAAAGTCCATTGGACCAATCAGTCTTCAGCAGCAGCATCTAAGAACTTTGTGGAGCTTTGAGTTAGGCAGGGAACTGTACAGAATATAAAGATGAAAAGTGTAAAAGATAAAAGAATTACCTGAGTGTGCAAAATCTGGAGTCAGATCTTTGACCTCATCTTTCTGCCATTGCATGGTTCCATCAGTGCTACTCTATTTTGAAATGTTTCAGCTTTGGTGCATTATCGGTTATGAAAAGTAAGTTAAGCAAGCTTGGACACTTACAAATCTCAAAGTTCTCCAAGGATGGCCAGTTTAATAACTCATTTGCGCAAATTCTTTCTAATTTTGGCATATCAATGAGTACAAATTTCTTCAGTTTTGGAAGCACATGCGGATGCCCACTAGTTTCAGATTCCTCAAATATTTCTACAATTCCAGGGCAGTCTTCAATTTTTAAATATTGCATTTCAAGTTGGTGGATTACCCCTGGAGGAAAAATCTTCTTCAACATTTGACAGCTACTCAAAACTAGAGTCTTTAGTTTGGTTAAGCTTCCAGATTGCATTGGGACCTTCCAAATGCTTTCCAACTTGGGTAAATTTTTCATGTATAAATGCTCCAAGTTCAATATTATTTTGCAATCCACTCTACTGATGATTGTTTCAATTTCATTGCAACTTTCAATCAGACAACCTCGGATCTGGGTCATGCTTGCAATTCCAAAGTCTGATAGTTGCTTGATATCCTTGTGGTTGACCAACTCAATTGCTTCAGCTTTAGCAAATACCTCAGGAAATGGAGGACTAGCGCCTTCACCATTGCAGTATTTGATATACCTGGCATACTTAAAGTACTCGGGAATTTGAGGATGGTCTGGATGCTTGCAAGAAATCAGAAGCTGAAATGACTTGATGTGTTTGACGTTGCTCCATAAGTGGCTGTTCTTCATAAAAGTTTGTAGAATGCCTGCATCGGGTACGTGGATCCGGAATGTAGTAGCCACCTCTATGACATCTACAACCTCATCAGCAAAGCATAACTTGAGAATCGTCAATCTTTTCAAGATAGCCACTTCTTTTATGATATTCTCAATCAATACCTTATTGGACCATTGCTCAAATGCTTTCATATCGATAACCAATTCTTCCAATGCAGATAGCTTTGAGATTATATCATGATTAAGATCCATCTCTGGAGTGCCATTTACATTTCCAGATTTCGTGAAGGATATACGCAGACACCTTAGACCTTTCAAGTTTTTAATATGAGTTGGTATATTATGGATCCCACTACCCCGAATATCAAGCACTTCAAGATGTGGAAGTTCACCTACTGCAGAAGGGAGCTCCATCAAATATTCGCAATCACATAAATAGAGCACTTTGAGACTGATCAGCTTCGATACAGATATTGGTAATGACATGATTCCAGTTTGACAAAAGTTCAAAACTCGAAGGCTGGGCATATGGTCAAAAAATGATTCAGGGACTGTCGTCAGTTCTGAATTTTTTTGAAGGAAAAGCGTGGAAAGCATGCTACAATCTGGGCAATCTGGTAACTTGTCGAATTCATTGTCACTCAATGAGATACGATTCTTCTCGCTCCAGGGTTCTTCATCTGGGGCTTCTTGTAATGCTCCATTTGGTTTTACCAGATACTTACATTTAGGATCATCCGATGCGAAATACAAAGCCGCCTGTCTAATAAATTTGTGCATGGTAATGCATTTCTCACTCATAGTTTCTTCAAGTAATGAAACATTCTTGAGGTGACTCAAGATAAAATGCCCATTCCTAGCTTTCATATTTTTTGCATGATGATCATTGCCAAGGAAATCTTCTGCTGCCCAACACTCCAACAAATAATCTGTGTAAATGTCACTGTCTTCAGGATATAATGCACCATAAAGAAAGCATTTTTTCTGGGCATCATCCAATTCATCGTAACAGAATTTCAACATGTTATACATTTCCCTGATGCCTTGGCATTCTTTCTGAGGCCACATTCGCCAGCTGTTCAGTCCATCACTCCATAAGCACTCGTTGTTTTTCACTTTGAAAGTGTTTGCTACTTTTTCTATCAGTAGTGGAAGACCGCCACAATCATTGCATACTCGCCACGCAAGTGGTCCAATTTTTGGATTTTCAATAATTTTTGGGCATTCTAGGACATCTTGAAACATCTCCCATGCCTCATCTGCAGACAAATTTGTCACCTTGATCACTCTGTTCACCAATGAAGAACAAACATGACCCAACCTAGTTGTCAAAACAATCTTGCTACCATTCTTGCCATCAGGAATTCCCATTTTATACAAATTGAGATCTTGCTTAACGTCATCCATAAGTAGCAAATATTTCTTATCCTTCAACTCCTCCAATATTCCATGGGCAACTTCATCGGCACGTTTGGTGCCTTTTATATTTAGTCTCAGTCTTCGCAGAACAGCCTGTTGCAAATGCTCTCTACTCAGATTCTCCTTGCTCCCTTCTGTTGAAACCTTCACCCAGATGACTATATCAAACATTTTGGCAACTTCATCATGGTTATTCAAGTTCAGCATTATGGTTGTTTTCCCAATCCCCACAGTTCCATGGATTTTGATCCCATTAACTTTGTCATTTCTTAATAATCCCAACACCTGCTCAAGAGACTTTTGAAGCGTCTCAAATTTTTTGATATCTGGTGCCCTCATCTTCACGACAGGTTCTGGTGGTTGGCCAGCCAGCAATTTATCCTTGATTTGATTGCTCTCTTCCAGAAGTTTGATTACTTGTTCATGTTTCTTTACCAACTCTTCTCTGAAAGTTGAAGATGTAGAAAAGCTAAAAGATGACTTCTCGCTTTCTCTGTCATGTTTGGCTACTAAATTATCCACTTGATCTTCAATCTCCATCACTCTGCGAATCCATTCCTTATAAGTTTCAGATGGTACCTTCATCTTCTGTCCCCCGACTTCATTTTGGTAATCCTTCCTTTTAGAACGTAGCACTCCTACTGCCTCTTTTAAAGCATCCAGAATCTCCTTCACACAATTTGAAGAGGCAAATTTTCTCATAAGTGGATCCCACAATGCTGGTTTAGCTTGGGACACCGAGCCCACCATACCTGCTGCGGCCCCTACTACAGCAGAGGTCGCTGCTACTACAGCTGTTGCTTCAGCCATGGAGAAACTTCAAAGTTCAAGCCTGTAAGAAAAAGTTGATAGAAGCAACAAACATTTAGATAAAATAAATACAGTGAGGGTGGACTCAGACCAAAACTATACAACCAACAATCTTTAACTCATGTTCGTCTCTCAATCTAATCTCAATTCTTTTTACCAGACAAGTTAGTGTACTAGAGACAATGCACTAGATAATTGCAAATAACAACAGAACTCTCTGGGGGTTACCCTTTGAGTTTTCGACAAAAGAGATTAGGTAAGTCTTTGGCAAGCAGATTGGTGAATTTAGATCTACATTTTGGAATGCCTAAAGATACATCACAGAACTACGAAGGCTTGATTCGAAGATCAAGCTCTTGAAGCCCTTTAGATCCAAATCCAAAAAGGAGATCGAATCAGAGTTCACCAGTTGTAGTCCGGTGTAAACCACAAAGTACTATTGTATTGAACCCATATTTTTGAAATTAATAAAATCAAATTAAATGCATCTTTTTTTGGGTAAATTACACTCACCTCTCTGAGGTTTTTGACAATTACAGGGACCTCCCTATAGTTTCAATAATTACAGAAATCTTTCTTATTTTTTCTGACATTGTCAAGATTCATCTCTCCCGTTAATTTAAGTCAAATGGTGTTAACTTAGTTGTGCAAGTGACCATAATACCCTTTACACTTAATACCCTTTAATTGTAATTTACCTATATATTAGGCCTCGGTTGAGAATAGGTTTTTTTAGTAACTTTTTGGCTTTTTAGCTAAAATGTGATGTAAAAAAAACTAGTATGTTTGGGATGACTTTTTGACTTTTTACGAAAAGATGTGTAAAAAGTAGAGAAAATGAAATCTTTGACTTTTTGGTATGAGTTGTTGGCTTTTTGGTTTTTTAAGTAACTTTTTGGCTTTTTGACTAAAAAAGTCACTTGCCAAACGACACCTAAATTATCATTTTATTTCTCACAATTTTTTTTTTCGTATTTCCTTGACTTTGTAGTTTTTTTTTTTCCCACTATAAGTTTTGAACTTTTATAATTTAAAAAAAAAAAATCAACCATTAATGAAATTAAGAAAGAATATCCATGTTTCTTATTTGAATTAATTTTGAGATTTAATTTAATAAAAATAATTTAAATGAAAGAAACAAAGATGGAGATATAGATTTTAGATGTAATAAATAACAAATTATTTGAGTATTTTATTATTTTTAAATAATTTATTTCTTCAAGTAAAATTCTATTTTATTTAGAAGTAAGAAATGACAAATTTAAATAATTTATTATTCTCAAATAATTTCTTTATCTTTCATTCCCTACATCTAATTTTAATTTATTGTAACGTGATTGGATATTTTTTTTACTTTTAAATTTATTTTTAAAAATTTCATTATTAAGGTGACAGAATATTGACTTTTTTTTAATGAAAATTAAAATTTGAGAATAATATAGGATTGTGAAAAGATAAAATGATATTTTTTTTACATATTTATGAGGTAACATTTGGTAATTTTTATAAGCCAATTTTTTTATTTTATTTTATTATAAATATGAAATGTTATTATGTTTATTTTTCTTTAAAAAATTTAATACACAAATATGTTTACAAAATAAAAGAAAAATTCATATTTCGTAAGTTTGTTATGATATTGGATGATGCTAGTTAACATTATTGAAAGAGAAAAAATAATGAAAAAAATTGAGGAAAAAACATAGAGAAAAGAACAAATAATAATAATAATAATAATAATAAATTATATGGTGTTGCTATTTGCTGCAGTGACACTATGAAAAAATGAATGAGAAAATAAATAGAAAGAAATGAAAGAAATAAAATAAAGAAAATGAAAAGAGAGGGATAATTTCTCCAAATATGTATTTTTCATAAGGAAAAAAAATAATCAAATACCTATATGTATTTTTAAATTTGTACTCAAACTCTAATTTCTCAAAATAATTATTTATAAAATTGGTGGTCTTTTTTAAAAAAAACATCTTTTATACTTTGTTTTGTAATTTTCAAATAAATGATTATATTTAATCTAGTATAAGGTTTAATGGTGATCAATTTATTAGCTCTTTTTTTTGTAAGATAAGGTAATGTTTGGTTATTTTACTATATATATATACTTGTCTCAACAATTTAGAAATTTTCTAAACATTGTATAGAATTTAATAATTTAGTTTAACATTATTAAAATAATGTATGAGTCTTTATTAATTTTTTGTAAAACCTCAGGGGAAGTGAGTGAAATTTATTATTTCAATATATAAGGGCAATTTTAAAATTTTTTACTTAGAGTACATGATATCATCATATTTTGTTAAATAAATTAACAAAAGATTAACGGTGGGGGAATCTTAATAATAGTTTTAAAAGTACGAATAATTTATGTAATTATTAAAATTATAGAAGAGATCCCTATAATTATCATAAAACTCAGGAGAGGTGAATGTAATTTACCCATGGTTTTTTATTCTGTACAAGAGGATTGACAGAGATTACTATATTGCTAAATTGAAAGTCCTGGACTGCTAGCCATTGATGAACACACGAATAACTGGCTTCCCTCCTTTCCCATATCGGATTGAAGGGTATTGTTGAGTCTATGGGAGCTTATCACGGGTTTTATTTCGATAATTCAAACCGTTTAATGTATAAAACATGTCAAGTACTATATGTCTGTAAAAAATCATGTTGATCGGATATTGATAACTATTTTATCAGATCAGATTTTTGCCAACCGTTTATTTTTTCACTGTTCATTTTTTTAATATAAAATTGATTTATCACATAGCCATCGATATCCGATTAACATAATTTTTTATAAACATGTAATACTCGACGAGTTCTATACATTACACAGTTCAAATTATCGAAACGGTATCCGTAGTGATCCTCCACGGGCCCAATAGTACCCTCTAGTCTGGAGGGAAGCCAGGCCCTTGGAACATCAAATTACATGAAAAAAAAAAATTAGATGGATCTATTAAATTTTAGAACAACAATTGTCGGATTTTCTTTCTAAAAGACTCGTATGAAAGAATATTAGAGAACTACATACTGTACCCACCAAAATGGAAGTAATCAAGCATTGAATTTATCCATCAAAAAGAATAACCAAAAATAGTTGGATCTATAAAATTTTTGAACAACAATTGTTGGGTTTTCTCTCTAAAAGACATAGATGAAGGAATATTAGAGAACTAAATACTGCAGCCACCAAAATGGAAGTAATCAAGCATCCAATTTATCAATCAACCCCAACAAAAGCACATTTCTCATTGAAAAAGAAAAAAGAAAAAAAGCTCATATCAAAGGGAAAAAGATATCAGATCGCCACAAATAGAAACCCACAAACAAATTTCAAACTACTTACAAATTTGCTACTATTTTAAAAGAATATTTGTTAGTTATTTTCTATTTTATATCGTGAAATAATTAAAATAATTGATTTCAAATTATAAAGTCCATTGCACTGCTAGTATATCTGCAATATCATTGTTCAAATAGATGCTTCAAATCTACAATCAAAGGTAGTAATTTTATAAGCTGATCGTCTCACACACCGCTAATAGAAGATCGAGTGCGTACCTTCTTCAAATCCCGAGTCTTTCAACTGCTCCTCGTTTGATTCTCAAGCTGTTCCAAGTTTCAATGCTATGAAGTTTTGTTTTTTTTTAACAGACAATGCTATGAAGTCCGTCAACATTATAGGTCATCCTATAAATTATTAAATTATTAGAGGAATTACTTAGAGGAATTACTTACTAGTCATCCTATAAATTATTAAATTATTAGAGGAATTACTTAGAGGAATTACTTACTAGTAATGTAACAGGAAAAAAATTATAAATGTACGGGCGGCAAGTAGTTTTATGGTAAGGTGTAAGTATAAAGTTAGGATTTTTCTTAAGCGTGTCTTGCATATGGTATGCAAGACATTTACGACCTTACATTTATACCTTGTATGCCTTGTATTTACGATATTTTTTTGCATTTACATCTTGTATATGGTGTGCAACCTTAAGGGGGTTGCACACCTAAACATTACCCAATTATGGGGTTATTTTATATTTGTGTGTTCTTTTTTTTTAATTACACTGTTGAGTAATTTCTCCTAAATTATTTTCTAAAAAATAAATATATCATCATACGTCTAGCTATAAATTAAAAAAATAAATAATTACAATTTTCACTCTTAATTTGACTCAAATTTCAGTTTGTTCAAGTAATTTCATTTTGAATAATTTGGTCTCTATATTTTCAGTCTAATTCTAATTTGGTCATTTATTCTAAATTTTTGTTGATTGTTTTTTACGTAGTGTTTTAAAATTGTTAATTTTAACGTTCAATTGCAACAGAATGATCAAATTAAAACTAAACTTATAAATTGTAAGGACAAAATTATCCAAATTAAAACAATAGAAATTAAAATAAAATTTAGATTAAACTATAAGAATAAAAAGTGTAATTTATTCTTGAAAAATAGAAGTTATGAAAAGTAAAAATAAAATTACGTGACCGTGGAAAGTGATAAATTTATTTACCAAAAGGTGAAAGTGTAACTTTTGTTGTGATTTTATTATACCACAAGAACTAAAAAAATTATACCCCATATCTTTGTAATTATTTTTGATATTCAGTATTGATTCGTAATTATCTTAAAAATAAAAATCAAATTTCACTCATGTTCACATATCATTTGAAAATACACAAGTGATTCTTATGTAATTTAAGCAAAAAGACCACAAAACCCTTATATTTAAGTAATCAAATTGTTCAAAACATCGAAATTTTCAACATTTTATTTGGGAGACAAAATTCCCTTTATTTTTTTGTATTTTATTCTATGTACGATTTACCTCTTAATATTTGAAAATAAGCATATAATCCTTTTATTTTATAGCACGTGTTTCACACTTATGGCTATTTTAAATAGAATATCTGATATTACAATTCAGCCCACAAATAACAAATAATATGATTATTTTCAAATGATAAAGAATAATCCGCATATGAGCTAAACCGCGGAGATGAATTCAAATTTGGCCAAATATAATTCCAAATTTTAGAAGCACTTACAAACTGGTCTTATTAACTAAACTTATTTACTTACAAGTCTTTACTGATAAATTTATCACTGTAAATTTATTGACCAGACTGATAAAGTTATCATTGTAAACTTATTTATTAATTTCCATCATCTTTACTTATATTCACTCACTCATTTACATGAATTCACTATCCTCTTCCACATATACAAAAATAAGAGAAACTGATAAATTTATCACTAAAAATAAAACCTGAATTTGCGATGATGGTGGTGGATATGTGACGATAGAGGTGGTGGGTGGACGACGATGACGGTGGTGGTGGTAGTGGGTAGACGGCTACGAAGGTGGTGCGGTGGGTGGATGATGGTGGTGGTGCAGGTGGATGACGACGACAATGGTGCTGGTAGGTAAACAGCGACAGTGGTAGCAAGTAAAAGGTGACGGCGGCAGCAATGGTAGACAATGGTGTTGTGAAGCTTTTAGAAATATTTGGATTTCTCTCATGTTTACATCTCAACATTAGAGAACTTGAGAGGCCCATAGAGCCCACCACAAGTCCGTTTTTTATGATCCAAATCGTTCACTTTTTATAACTCGTTGAATAGAATATTCATGTAAAAAATTATGACTCGTTGATTATTTGCATGAATATTCTATTTAATGAATCTAAAAAAAAATGAGCAGTTTAGATCATTAAAATCGATTCTAAAATGGCCCTAGCAAGCCCAAACATTATCTCAAACTGATATGACAATTTGAAAGAAGCCAAACTATTTCAGTAGTTCTCTAACTTCTCAAAAATTTCCAATGCAGACATTTTGTTACACATTTTCTATTATTAAATACATATATGACCAAATTGAATCAGAAATTAATATTATAATTAATCCTAAAATTCCTTTTTCTTATAACTCAAGAAATATATCTGTAAAGGAATGAGTCTTGATTTTGTTTATTTTATTTTTTTGATAATAACAAATGAATTTGTGATTAATTTCATCAAATTATTTGTCAATCAGATCCATATAATGCATGAATGGCAAAAAATAGACATGATGTGACAGAATGGCTACATTGAACCAATTTGTGAAGTTAGAGGACTTAATTGAACGAAATTTTAATTTAGGGGTTTAATAAGAAAACGTATAAAATTTTGAGGATTTTGATATAATTTACTCTAAATTAAATTATAAGATTTAAATTTCATATTAAACCTGGAAAATAGTGAAAAGTCTTATCGAATAGTTTTATTTTATGATAAATCTTAAAAAAAAATTATTAACTAATTGACTCCACTTATATTTTGTAATGGATTAATAGAGTTATTTTTCCATATAAATCCTCTTTGTTTTAAATATTGATATTGAGTTGTAGGACTTTGATATATTGTTAGAAAATTAAGTCATATTTTTAAATGTTGACAATTTTTAATGATTGTGTATATTATTATATTTATTGTAGACATAAAAAAATAAAAATAAAAAATTATTTGGAGGAGATTTACATGGAATGTATATCATAAATGGTATATGTATATGTATATCTAGGAATGGCATCAGGGTGGGGTATGTTTACAATCTTGTTCCCTTACTTTATTGGGCGGTAAAAATTGAGTCCAGATCCTCAGCTGCCCTACCTTGCAACCCTTCCTGCCACGCCCCAAAACGACGTCGTTGTGGGGCCAATTTTCAAAGAAAAAAAAGAAAAAAAAAAGAGCAAAACAGAACCCAAAGAGGAGAAGAAAGAAAGCATCAGCGACAACCATAGCCGCGAGACCCGACAACGAGCAACCATAGCCGAGAGACCCCTTCTCTCTCTTTCTCTCTCTCACGATCTTGATCTCGCTACCAACGACTAGCCACCATCTCGATCAAAAGAAGAAGAAGAAGAGGAGAAAGATGAAGGACGTGGGGTGAGTTTGAGACTGCAGTGCTACGGCGGTGGAAGAGAGAGAGGCTTGAGAGAAAATTCAAGGTTTTGATTTTTTGGCGATGAACTTTGATTTTTCATCACATTTTTTAGCCCATGATTTGTTATATATATATATATATATATTGTAGATTTTTATAGATATAAAGCTATATATATATATATGGATGGAAGTGGAAGGTGAATAGGAATGAGAAATCATACCAGCGATCGAAGAGTGGCGCCGGTGGGTGAAGGGATTCCGGAGGGTGTGGTCGTTGTGGGTTGCCGGTGCTGTGTTCTTCTTTCCCACTTTCTCTAGTCTGTTCTGTTTTACTCGTTCTGTGTTACTTTTTCTTTTTTTTTCTTTTTCTTTTTTTTTTGAAAATTGGCCCCAAAACGACGTCGTTTTGGGGCACTGTTTCTCTTTTTTTTTTTTTTTTTTTTTTTTTTTTGAAAATTGGCCCCAAAATGACATCGTTTTGGGGCGCTACTGGAAGGGCCGCAGGGTAGGGCTACCGAGGATCTGGATTCGTAAAAATTGGGGAGGTGGTGGGGACGTGGCTTGAGTGGGGAAGCACCGGATAATTTGTTACCTTTAAGATAGAATGGTACTAATGAGAAAGACATATGTATGTGAGACCATAAATATCAATAAGTAACAAGAAGAAAAAAAGAAAAAACCAAAAAAAACACAAAATAAACGTAAAATATATGTTTTGAAATTTTATAAATTTTATATTTATTATATTTAATAAATTAAATTTTAACTTAAATATAGACCCAAAGGTTTGATCCTCATTTTATCCTCATGTGAGAGAATAAATATCAGTAAGTAACAATATAGATTCAAAGGTTTGATCCTCATTTTAATTTAAATTTTAAATAGTGATGTTATAAACTGTTTGATCCTCATTTTATTCTTATAGACCCAAAGGTCCCATTTTAGTGTAAATTACATAAAGGGTCAAATGTAAACGCGTGTGTTATGTGTTTAGATAATGTTGAAATTATTAAATGTAACACTTAAAAAAAATTCTTTAATATATTTTTTTCACACGTAACATTTCAATATAATACTCAAAAAAACATAACATTCCAATGTAACACACTGAAAAACTCTTTAGTGTATTTTTCTTAAATGTGACAACGTAATATTCTAAAAAAAAATTTAATGTAGTTTTTCCAAACGTATCACTCCAATCAATGTAACATACAAAAACTTTTTAATATATTTTTACCAAACGTAACACTCTAATGTAATATACTAAAAAATTTCTTAATATACTTTTCTCAAATATAATAGCATAACATTCTAAAAAAAACATCTTAGCGCACTTTTCTCAAACGTAATAACGTAACATTCTAAAAAAACTCCTTAATATATATTTTTTTCCAAACGTAACATTTTAATTAATGTAACACATAAAAGCTCCTCAGCGTACTTTTTTCAAACGTAACATTTTAATAATACATTTTAATATAACATCAAAAAAATCATATTAACATAAATATAAATTTCAATGTTCAACAACTAACACTTTAACTACCAATCCCAAAAAAAAATCTTTCACACACTTCATCTTTCTATTCTCATCCTAAAAACGAATCAAAAATTTAAAAAATGAATCATAAAATGACATTTACTTAAATTTAAGGGGGATGCACCAATAAATCCCAAATTAATAACTTATGCACTGTTTAGTCCTAAAAGTTTTCTTATAGACTGAAAGGTC